GATAGTTGAAGGTTGTCAGAACCTAGACGTGTTTAGGCTCATTTTGAAGCTCTCAACCTCCCAAACTCAAATTGAATATTTTTAACTCAAAATTTCTCAAACTACAGTAACCCTGACCGTTCCAACATCTCAATGCGCGTTTATTCCCGCCTTATGGTTGCACAATATGGCCACACCACTACTCGGATTATTGCCATTCACAACTTCAATCAATTTTTTGGTGTGCTCTGTTGCTCCGTTATGGTACATGAGAGCCACGCATTTGTACACATTTTTCTTACTGTCAGGTAGGTGAAAATTTGGGAAAAATAATTTTTTTTCTGGATTTTTCTGGAATTTTCTCAACAAAAAAAGCTGAAAATTTCAGCTCCTGTCACCATTGCCATGTCCTTGACATCTCTAAATGCACTGATATTGATTGATAACGAATCTCCAACTGCTATCATTTGTATCGCCGCAAATGGCGCCGCCCATCACATCGTTTATCATATTATGCTATTTTTTCGGATCATCGCCAATTTGGCATCGGCTGTGATATATTTTATCATTATACTGTATTTGAAAAAGGTACAAAAACTAAAAATTTGGTCCATAGCCAACCAAAATCTATCAAAATTGAGCAAATTTAGGCCAATTTGAAATTTCAAGGAACATCCTTTTTTAATTTTTCAAAAAATCTCAAAAACTAGAAATCCAGCTAAAAATACGATGCGATTTTTTGAATTCTGAGAAAATTTCCTACATTTTGAGCCCAATATCGACCCATTTCGGTGAATTTTGAAATGTGCCCATACCTTGCCCATTCCTTGCCCATAAGCGCCAAATTAGCCAATATTGACCGCAATCGGTCAATTTTAGGCTCAAAATGCTTGAAATTTTATGAAAAATCTTAATTTGATTATGAAAATTAATGAAAATCAATCTTTCAAGGTCAAATTTCCAAAATTTGCCCATTCCTTGCCCTTCCCTTGCTCATGAGCTCAAAATTGGTTAAAATTGGTCAAAATGGGTTCAACTTTGACTCAGATTGTTTCAAATTTTTTGACGAATTCGGATTTAACAATAAATTTTGATAAAAATCAAGTTTTCAGTGATAAATTTGGAATTTGTCCATTCCTTGCCCATTCCTTGCCCATGAGCTCTACATTGGCCAAAATATGCCAAAATTGGTCAAACTTAGGTTCAGAGTGCTTTAAATTAAATGAAAATTACAAATTTTGCAATGAATTTCAGTAAAAATTAAGTTTTCATGATGATATTTCAAAACTTGCCCATTCCTTGCCCAAAGGCTCTAAACTGGTCGAAATAAGCACAAATCGGGCGAATTCAAGCACAAAATGCGTGAAATATCATGAAAAATTTGAATTTAATAATAAAATTTGGTACAAATTAAGCTTTCAATGTGAAATTTCCAAATCTACCCATTGCTTGCCCATTGCTTGCCCATAATCCTTAAATTGGGAAATATGGGTCAAAATTGGTCAAGCTTGGGCTCAGAATGCTCGAAATTTACAAGAAATCTGAATTTAACAACGAAAGCGGATAAAAATCTAATTTTTGTTGTATAATTGCCATACTTACCCTTTCCTTGCCCATCCCTTGCCCAAAAGCCCCAAATTGGGCAATATTAGTCAAAAAAAGTCAAATTTTGGCTAAAAATGCTTGAAATTTTATGAAAAATACAAATTCAACGGTGAAACTCTATAAAAATCAAGCTTTTGATGCGAAACTTCAAAGTTTGCCCATTGCTTGCCCATCCCTTGCCAATGAGCTTTAAATTGACCAATATAGGGTCAAAAATAGTCAAATTTGGGCTCAAAATATTTGAAATTCGATGAAAAATTTGAATTTAACAATGAAATTGGATAAAAATCAAGTTTTCACTCTGTAATTTCTTAATTTGCCTAATCCTTGCCCATGACTGAGCTCTAAATCGGTCAAAATAGGCCAAAAATTGCCAAATTTTGGCTCCAAATGTTTGAAATTTTATGGAAAATTTAAATTTGGCAAAAAAAATCCGTAAAAATCAGGTTTAAAATATGATATTTGCGAATCTGCCCGCTCCTTGCCCATGCCTTGCCCATGCCTTGCCCATAAGCTATAAAACTTCTCAAAATTATCCGAACCTTTTGGAATTTTTCCAAATTTTATTTCAGAGTCACGGTGGAACACTAAAAGACCTCTCTCCACAACAGCTAAAAATGCATAGGAACGCAAAAATCACTCTGGGTCTGGTCACCACCAATTCTATGATTCTTCTTCTATTCCCAGATATTTTGCTATTTTTCAACCCCTGGAATATTACCAAATTCTATTCCACCCCGCTATATTCGATGACATTGAGCAAGGTAAGCAGAATATTTAAATTTGGCGCGTTGATAGCTTTAAAATGAGCCTAAACAAGCCTATTTTTAGTCTGAATTAGACCTAATTAGGCCCCGCCCACTTTCTCAACAAAAATGAACGGAGTCTAGCCGTGTTTGGGCTCATTTTCAAGCAGGACACTTGGCGCATTCAAGTGTCTTATACTGTTAGCTTCAAAGTGAGCCCAAACACGATTAAGCTCCGCCCATTGTGAGATTCCCCTTGCTCAAGCTACGCACGCACGCGACGCGCCCGAAAAGTCAACCTAGTCGTGTTTGGACTTTTTTTGAAGCAGAGAGTTTTGCGAATTTGAATTTATCATGCCTCGCGCTTCAAAATGAGCCCAAACACAACTAGGCTCCGCCCATTTTAAATTATCGCACACGCACGCGACGCATGACCGCGACGCAGTCGAAAAACCAAAATATGCGGAGCCATGCCGTGTTTGGGCTCATTTTGAAGCTCTCAACACCCTAAATTCAAATTTTTATTTCATTTCAGACTATGATCAACTTCATGATCTATATGATTCGATATCGTGAACTTCGAAACATCATTTTTCTGAAAATCATCGCTTGCCTACCGAAAAAATGGGCGATCCCGCTATCGATGAAAATCCGAAGTGCAAATGAGCAATCGAACGCTCCAAAAGGTACATTCGCCACACGATCATCGATTCAGACAGATCGGATTCCGTGTGAGTTTTTAGGGAATAATATTTGGGATTTTTGAAATTTTTAAAAATCTCAAAAAATGAACCCCATGCTTAAAACAAGTTAAATCTTAAAACAAGTTAAACAGTGAAATTTCCAACATTTTGAGCCCAATATCGACCCATTTCGGCCAATTTCGAGATTTGCCTTTTTCTTGGCCATGCCTTGCCCTTAAGCTCTAAATTGCTCAAAATAGGTCAAACTTAGGCTCAAAATGTTTGAAATTTTACGAGGAATTCAAATTTAACACTAAAATTCCATGAAAAATTTGTCTAAAACTTGAAAATTCAAAATTTCCAGCTTCCTTTGACCAGCCGCGAAAAAGTCTGGGACGTCGATCGAGCTCAATTGTGAATTTCAACAAATCTCGAATTTTGCCAAAAACTGCTGGGCCAGTCTCTGCCGGACCTCTCCATCTACCTCCTCTACCGCAGCGAACTCAGAATTTTTGAATTGTAAAAATTGAAGATTACTGTATTTGTATTATAAAGTTGTTGACATACTTTTTTTTTGATTTTGCAAATTTGAGATTTTCATATTTTCAAGCTTTTACAGTTTTTAGGATTAACACACTTGTGCTTGGCTCGTCGAGAGCTTCAAAACGAGCCCAAACACGACTGTCCCGCAAAAAAATTAAATTCAAATGTCCCGCACACTTTCATTTTTCGGCCGCGTCGCGGTCACGCGTCACGTGCGCAAGGGAAATTTCAAAATGGGCGGAGCCTAGTCGTGTTTGAGCTCTTTTTCAAGCGCTCAACATGGTTAATTTGAATTTGAAGCGCTCTACGCTGCAAAATGTGCCTAAACACCACTAAGCTCCTCCCGTTCTTCGAGTTTCGTGACCCTTAAAAGTGGGCGGAGCCTAACTTCGAAATGGGCGGATCCTTGTCGTGTTTGGGCTTATTTTGAAGCGCTATACATGATTCATTTAAATTTGAAACGTTCTGGCCTGTCAATTTTCCATGAATTGTTCTGTGACAATGTCATTTTCATCAAATTTGTGAGAAAGTTAGCTTCGAAATGAGCTCAAACACGAGTAGGCTCCGCCCACTTTGAAATTCCCCTTACGCACGCGACGCACGTCCGCGACGCGGCCGAAAAACTAAAGTGGGCGGAGCCTATTCGTGTCTGGACTTATTTTGAAGCTGAAAACGTAGCAAATTCGAATAAAACGATTTCGGAGCTCTGAAAAGAGCTCAAACACGACTTGGCTCCGCCCGTTTTGAAGTAAGGCTCCACCCACTTTTAGGGGTCCCGAAACTTGAAATGGGCAAAGCCTAGTCGTGTCTGGGCTCATTTTGAAGCGCTGAACATAGGTCATCCAATTTTGATACGTTCTAAGTCTCAAAATGAGCCCTAACACGACTAAGCTCCGCTCACTTTCAATTTACGCAAATGCACGCAACGCATGACCGCGACGCGGCCGAAAAACGGAAGTGGACGGAGCCTAGTCGTGTTTAGGCCCCTACCGTATAGCCGTGATGCCGTTGCTGCAACCTGACCATTTTTTCAATTTAAAGTCTAGAAAAAGAGGTTAATCCCTCAATTGTCTCTATTCATTTGGTCCGTTGATTGCCCGTTTCTAAGCCGATGAAGCCCCGAGCCTCACTGAATTGTCCTCCTTCGTGTTCACCCGGTTGGCCCGGTCCACGAGCCTCAAGCGGTTGGGAAGGACGGGTTAGCGATATACGTGTGTGTCCTTTGTCCTTTGTATGGTCCCTTGAAGGACTCCCATTCCGGGGGGTGACCCGTTCTCATTTGCCTCCCCCTCTTCCCCCTCCATACATTCATATGTGGTCACGTGCTTTTCCGCATTCGTGGGGTCTTCTGTTTCTATGCATTTGTACATATGTGTGTTGTTTATTCATCTGCGTATCGATTTTCGTGGACCACGGTTGACCAGTTCTTGGCACCTACGCGGTTAGAAAGCTAAAATCCTACTTTGGACCGTTCTAGGGCCGCTTTTGAGCCGTTTTGACTTATTTCTGGGCTGTTCAGAGCAATTTTGATCATGTTTTCCGCTTTTTTTAAACCGTTTTGCCATTTTAGCAAATTTCAGAGTGACGTTCGTCGGTTTTGGACCATTCTAGACCACTAATTTTGAGTGTTTGGGGCCGCTTTGGAACCGAACTAGACCAATACGGGTCATTCTGGGACAGTTTGAACTACTTTTGAGTCATTTTTCAGATTCAGACTAATTTTCAATTAATTTTACTGATTTTTCAGATCATATATCACTAATTTTGGGTCGTTTCAGATTATTTTGCGAGCATTTTTAACTGTTTTGGGCTTTGAACCGCCGCTGGACCGTTCTAGACCAATTTGAACCGTTTTTGAGCATTTTGGACCGCTTTTGAGCTGTTTTTGGTTTTTTACTAATTTTTCACAATTTATGCTATTTCAAATCAGTTTTCTCTGTCTTATCCCTTTTTTCTATGTCCGTCCGGATTTCCGAATTTCCAGATGTCCGCCGGACCCCCTAGAAACCTGTCTTCCTTCACCTTATCACCTCAACAATCGAATGAACTCGAAAAAGAATATCGGTTTCGATTCAGAAGACATGTCAGAGAAACTATCGAGCTGTCCCAAGAACTTGGAATGGAGCAGGCGGAGGTGAGCAGACTTTTTTTAAAGGCTTCTAACTTTTTCGGATTTCGGAATTTTTTGAAGTTGTTACTAGTTTTATTTTTGTCTCAGCGAGAGCTTCAAAATGAGCCCAAACACGACTAGTTTCCGACTATTTTAAGATTAAGCTCCGCCCACTTTTAGGGGTCCCAAATCTCAAAGTGGGCGGAGCCTATTCGTGTTTGGGCTCGTTCTATAGCTTA